AGCAATTGTATAGCTTACATAGCTCCAGTAATTTTGTCAAGAAAAGTATTATACTTGGAGAATAAAATTGTGTTTCAAATCCATAGGCTGACACGCTTTCTCCTGCTACCTGTTCAGTGTACAGGCTACTAAGAACTTCCTTTCACTAATTGCATCTTAAAGAACAAATTTATCTGTATTCATCTCATGGTTTAGAGGGATGAAGCAATTATGTTTTGTATTTCTTTGGACCTCCAGCCACAGTTGTTGTGCACTTTGAGTTGTCTGGCTGATTCAAGATTCGTTTCCAATGTTGAGCCAAGGAATTAAAATATTACAATTGAGCAGCTGCACCTATCACCCCTTAACAATATTGATTTTTTTATTCAATTTACAAAGTGTATGCTGTATGAATCTGATATTTTATTCATTTGCCTTTCCTAAATTCTGCTGTAACCATCATAATACTTTACTCTCATAGTCTTGTAGTGCTGCTGAATAGCAATGTAATCCCCAACCTACTGACACTTCAAAAGTCTGTCCTTTATTCTTTTAGTTAAAGCATATACCTGTGAAACACGGTAGGATCATTAGGAAAATTCCGACCTTGTTTTGAAAAACTTATTTTCTTTTATTCTATCATATCTAAGCCTTTTCTTATATATCAAGCATCTAGCAAAATGCTTTTTGTAAAGTGGAGAAGCGAAAAGTAAGCTGTTTCACAGAATATTAGCTGCAACCATACTATCATCTGTGCTTGTAAGGTTCAACACCTTTTCAGGATCTACCCTAGATGGTTAGAGAATCTTCCATTTGACCAGCCAGGTCTTGCATAATGGAGAAAAACCCTTTAGTTAATGAGTTCCATGTCCATCTGAGGATATAGGAACAAAAAATGGTGGTGTGGCGTGGCAGGTCTTGTCAGTGGCCCTGGTAGTTCCAATGCTTTAAAGCTGTCAGTGACATTCTATTTTTAAGACTTATACAGCGTACCTAACTCTGTGAGCAGAGGCCTTGAAGCTCATTTACCAATCACTACTGTTAGCTACTGACTGATGAGTATTGAACACATAGTAGTGATCCATTGCTTCTTCCCATTAAGGAGAATTTGCACCCCTTAGAAGCCATTTCATACCCCAATGTTCTGTAACCATTGCAATGAATCGGAGGTGTGGTACAGTGTTATTTTTGTGCTGTCAGTAGGTGCTGGACAGCAGAACCTAGAAATGGTGTTCCGAGAAATGCTACTATATATACACTATATAGAATGGGAAAATTCAGAAATACTTGTTCTGTTGCTTCTGTACAGAAGAATGATCTCCTTCTAAGGCTGTTGGAATTCAGAGTCCTGTCAGTAACATTAATGAACCAAAATCAGAATGCTGAGCGTGGTTTCCCCCACGCTATATGGTGTCAATTTTCAAAGCTTGTTTGGAACAGTCTTTTTCAACAGAAAATAGATTTTTATCCACTGAAAGTAGATGAACAGCAGAAGTCTGATGGAAGACCTTCCAAATTCCTGTGGCGGGATAGGTATTCTATGCCGAGCTTGCTGCCTGGATATTGTAAAAATCTACTTAGGGCAGATGCTCAGTGTTGTATACTATTAGTGAGAGGGGAAAACAGTCCTCTGTGGAGAGTGTTATCCCTCAGGAAAGGAGTGTAAGGCAGTAGAGAAGCAATGTAGTTGTCTTCTTCCAGTCTGTTGTTACAATTTCTATAGATCAGCGAGATAGTTGGTATATGACAGAGTCATTTTAGCCCGTGAGTTTTGCTGAGTGTTTTCACTACGTTTTGTTTTGAGAAGCAATTGCATTTGGATCTAAGAACTCAGCAAGAATATCTGCTTCTCGTAAAACCAGTGATACCACAAGCAGTTGCTACTTGCAATGAATTCTCACAGAAGACTGACTCTTCTGTTGAGAGCCAGTACTTGTTGCTGATTTACTGCTCTATAAGCAGCAGTACTTCTTGGCTCCCACTGAATTTATAACTCAAGAGGAGTCAGTAACTGCTTGCTTACATAGAGACAAGAGTTCCCTTTTTCCCTGTTGATGCAATACCTCCTGTTAGTGTGAGTTCAACAAAAGTGGGTGTCTGTGCTTCACGTACAAGGTAGAGGTTCCAGGGAGTTTGAAACCATTCCTCCAATCTTTTCCCCACATCAAATGTTGTAATTCTAGTAATTGCAGTCAATTCAAGCACAACAATAACATAAAAATACCTAGAAAACATATAGGCAGGAATGTTTCAACAAGTGCTTCTGAAGTTGGTTTGTTTTTTTTTTTTTCTTTTCTCTTGGGAGGAAACAGTAATTCACAGCAGAGGAACTCTAAGTTACACTGAAAAAAAAATCTCCCATTAGAGTATCACTATCCAAAGGGGAGTTTGTACCAATAACTTTTTCAGTTTGGTCAGCAATGTTTCAGGCTGACCAAAAATCTTCATAATATTAGTTTGCTGCTGTTGCTATTTCTCTAAATACACCTTTTTTTCTACTTTAGCAGAGTTATCAATATGTTCGACACATATATTTGAGACGTGGGGAACTATTGGAGGAGTTGCAACTTTTTGAAGATACAAACCTTATTGTACTTTTCTTGTTGCGTATCTGGAAAGTAATAAAGGGTATGTATGGCTTCATTTTTTTTTTTTTTAAACTTCTGCCTATGTTAAAGGAGTATTGATCACGTTCAGCAGCCTAGACAAATTCATTATCAAAACACCTGATTGAAATATATCTAAGGCTATAGGTGAAGGGGAAGCAGACATGAAGACAACAGTGGAGTTTCAATTAGACTCAAATTATTTCTAATTTGGATCAAGATTTTTTATGATAAGTAAAAATGTTAAAGCATCAGAAAGATTCGAAAGTTGTCATATAACTGACTTAACTGACATTTGTTACATCAATTAGTGGCACTTTTTTTGTAGGGAAGGAACAATAGTTCTGTAACTTGCAGTCATTGTATAAGGAAAGGAGAGAGTTAGTATTTCATTTGCTAGTTCAAGGCATGCATTTTTGGGGGGAGGGGGAAATGACTTCTTGATGTCTATATATGCCAAACAAAATTCCTCTCTTCTTTGGGGTGTCATAGTTTTAAAAGGCCACCAGACAGTCTTTTTTTAAACACCTAAACACCTCCTGGGCTGAGGCAAGGACCAAGGACGGGGAGGGTTTTCATGCACCACTTAGGGTCACAGGCAAGAAACCCACACGACTGGGGAAAACAAAAAAAAATAAAAAAAAAAATTGAATTTATTAACTATTTACAATCAAAAGCAAAGCAAGATAATGAGAGAGAGAACTACATCTTAGGCACTTCTCCCCCACCCCTCCCTTCCTCCCAGGCACAAAGGCTTTGTTCCTGGTTTCTGTACCTTCTCCCCACCCCCACGGCGCAGGGGGGTAGGGAATGGGGGGTGCAGTCAGTCCACCACTTCTTCCTCCTTGGGGGAGGGTTCCACACAGTCTTCCTCTGCTCCAGCGTGGGGTCCCTTCTCACAGGAGAGTCCTTCACAAACTGTTCCAACGTGGGTCCTTTCCACACAGGGTCACAGTCCTCCTACGACTGCTTGGCTCTGGCATGGGTTTTCTCAAAATTTGCAGCCTCCTTCGGGCACAGCTACTTCAGCTTCTCCTGGTCTCCGTGCTGCAGGGGGATCTCTGTTTCCAGGGCGCCTCCTTCCTCTCGTTTCTCTTCACTGACTGGCGTGTCTGCCTTGTTGTCTCTCTCAGATCCTGCTTTCTCTCTTCACCGTAGGTTCTTTCATCGGCTTCCGAGAAAACTGACTCTCGGGCAAGCCATGGCAGAGGCTTGGGCTACGGCAGGTCGTCTTACAGGAGAAGATGGGCAGGCAGCTGGATGGCCAGGCTGATCTTCCTGGGGCCGCACCAGCCCCCGTGTTCTGTGCCCCCTCTTAAATATGTGATTTGCAGAGGCACCGACTGGCTCAGCCCTGGCCTGGGGTGGGTCCAGCCTGGAGCTGGGGAAACTTCCATTCGCTTCTCACAGGGGCTAGATCGGTGGTACTCCTTCCCCTACCCCCTGGCTACTAAAACCTTGGCGGTGAACCCTTAGTCATTTACAGGAACCATCACTGCAGCCCCTCCCTTGCTACCAGTAGAGCTGGAGTCCAGGGAAACCTTTAGCAGTTACTTTTAGGAGCCATTACTGTGGCCTCACTGCTACCAGACAAACCCACCACACAAAACCACAACACAGGGGAATCTCTCAATGGGTCTTTTGAACTTCCAGGAGTAACTGTTAAGTATTCAAAATCATAAAGTTGACTGGGTTATCTACAGTTTTAAAATGTTCTTTGCATGTGAATATTTCTGAAATTGCAGTCCAGTTTTGCTCCTCTTAATACATTACATTCGCCAGTACCACCCCCCTTCCCAATAGATGTTTACTAGCAGGCTGTTATGATTAGGTTTGTTACTATTAAGGTTATTGATTAATAATAATAATTATTGTTATTGGGTTTTTACTGTATGAACTTTTAGTTCAAAATAGTATCGGACGTGAAAAATTAAACCAAAACCAAGAGTGTATTGAAACAAAAAAATTAATTGCACTTCAGTGAGTTCATACTACATTTATGTAAGCTCAAAATATCACTCAAACTATCGCTTGCTAGTAGAAGTGAAGTTTCAAGGGTAGTTTTTCAGTAACTGTACCAGATTATGCAGATAAAAGCAGAAGATAGCACTAAACATCTATAAATGTTTTTAGAGAGTAGAACAAGCATTTTAGCTCTGAGGAGTAGAGTGCGTTAAGTGAAGAATTAGTTCAGAACTAGTTCATTTTAGTTCACAAAGAAGTGAGATCTAAAATAATTTGCTTAAATCTAGAAGGTAACAATTTCTGCAAAGCAAGATAAGGAAAACATTCTAAAGTAGAAGAATAGAAAGCAATTTAAAATTTGAGAATTTCAGGTGGCGTTTGAGCAAATAGAAATCAGATTATTGAAATGCAGTTTATTTGATCTTTTCATGTTTTCTCTCTATAGAAACTTCAGCCACACTTCATCGAAATGCAGCGGACTGTGTTACATACTGCATCTCAGCTGGCACATGGGACATGTTTGGTTTTTCCTCGCACTAGTATCTTTCAGTCCTTAAGAGGACAATCAGTGTTGTCTGATGTTGGATATAAAGTGATTTTGGCACTGGACCCTCCTAAACGATGTCTTCATGCAGGCGCAGCACGTTTTGCCTCAAAGAAAAGTGCTTTTACGTCACAGCCAGCAGACACTCCTCACAAAGTACCAGAAGAGAGAAGTCCTTTGACTTCGGCTACTGATACACCCAAGCAGAGCCCTGTAGAGTCAGGTACTTCAGATCCTGATCCATTACAAGACAAATCAATTAGTCTCGTTCAGAGATTCAAGAAAACTTTTAAACAGTATGGAAAAGTCATGATTCCAGTGCATCTTCTGACTTCCACTGTATGGTTTGGATCCTTTTACTATGCAGCCATCAAGTAAGTTGGTATTTGTTTCAGTTACATATACTGCTGTTGAATTGAGACTGACTTTCACAGGTGAAAAGCCATAAAAATTATTACTACATGTTTAGAAGTGCCTCTGAATGTAATAGAGAAATGAGGCTCCTGAAGCGTAAGATTAATGTCAAAGGATTCGTTGTAGTGTCACGTACATACTATTACCATGCAGTTATTGCTGTGTACTCGATACGTTGCTAACACTTGAAGGAATATATGCATGGATGTAAACAGCATTGAAATTATTAGTAACCTCTCACTAAGTAAAGATAGGGATTTGGAATCCTGATTAGGAATTGCTATGTGAGATCTTCATAGACCTTGGTTGGGTTTTTTTGCCATTAGACTTGAGGGGTATTTCATCACTTCCTCCTCCCTTCATCAGTCCTCCCTCATCACTGGACTTTCATATTGTTCACCTCACTATGTGCTCCTCGCAAGCTGCCTGTATCTTTTCTGTTTTTATTTATGTTTCCTGTCTTTCCTGAAAAGAAAGACACTTTTCCATCCGCTGAAAAAATTACTACTGTAGGCCAGGCTTTTTAATTGGAAATTAAATATTTGTGTGGCTAAAAAAAAAAAAAAAAAGATAAATTAGGTATTCTAATTTTAGTTTATTTCAGCTATAGCATGTGCCAGATACCATTCTGGAAAATGGCATTTATGTGAAAAAAGCTACTGTATCAGCTACGAGCTGCTAGTTCTGATGAAAGAGGTTTTATCTACCTGCAAATGGTTTGCTAAATATGAGTAAATATTTATCTCTGGATTGCTAGTTTTGTATATTTAATAATAGAAAGCATGAAACAACAAGTGTTTGTGGTGGCAAGGATTGGGCTTTGATATCAGAATGCCTTACTGCACAAGTGTTTGTTTTAGTTACTCTAACCAGCTGGCATAATTGCCCTTTCTAGGAGCTATAGATCCAAATGTCATTCTAAATTTAGCTCTTGTCAGAGGAATAAAGGTCTTGAGCTATAAAAATATTTTGCTTTGGATGAATTCAGGTTGATGCTTATATCCAGACATTTCAGATTGAGTGAAGATTACTTTTTTTGAAACACTTAAGTTACCTGCTAAAATAGGCATTTTGAGAGATGAAAACAACTGAAATATTTAACTAGAAACTAATTATAACAAAGCTTCAGTTTGTAATGCCACAGGAGCAGCACCCTCTTGAAGTGGAAAAATAACTTGCAGAATGACTGCTCATTGTACACAACAGTGGTGGTTTATGAAATAACACGGGTAATGCTGTCTTTCAGATCTTTCTAGGTCTCTAGACAAAACAGAACATGAAGTTGAATTTTCACAACTGGAGCCTGAGTAGCTTTCTTACCACCATTATATGTACTTACCTCCAAACATAATAAACTGCACACAGTTAAGTGAGCTACTCAGTCCAATGGGTCACCTCTTGGAATGCTGACAAGAACATTAATTTGTCTATATGTACAGAAATACAAATCCTTTAAGTATATTGCTTAGATGAAAAAATACTTTGCTATCAAATTACAAAGTTTGTATAACAGAATTAAAGAATGGAAATGGTACTGTAATTCACTGTTCAGGTTTCAAATTCCACCTCAGGTTGCCAATTTTTCTCTCTTTTATAGAGGAGTGAATGTTATTCCATTCCTAGAGTTGATTGGCTTACCAGACAGCATAATAAACATCCTGAAAAATTCCCAGAGTGGAAATGCACTAACTGCATATGCATTGTATAAAGTAAGTATAATTATAATTTGTAAATAAGTTCTAAATCTTGCCTGGTGAACTAAACTGTGTTTATTTGTTTACAGCAGAAAATATTAATAGCTGTTTTCTTTCTTTGATAGTTACATGTACTGAGCATCCATTTTTGTAGTAAAAATAGTCACATACAAGTTAGTATGGGCTTTGTGTTCCTTCAAGGAGTCTATCTGTATTTCTAAAATAACTTCTTTGTTTGCTGCAGAACTACTGTCTGCCCTCAGAGGTTTAATTACAATTAATTTATTCCTCTGTATCCCTGACATAATTAACGGGGATAAAGAGGTGAAGTCTAAGCACATCATGATTTCCAGATAAAAGTACAGTTGTTTTTATCCTAGAGAATTCACTGGTTTGTCTTCCTACCTTAGTTCTCCATTATTGACAAGTACTTTCATTGTCCATTTGAATCAATTACCTATATTCAGGTTTGGGTCTCTTTTTATTGCTTTATGTGTGCACAATACATGTTTGGAAAACTTAAAACATGTCAGACCATGCAAAAACAAAGAACTCTATTCACTTCGAATGCCACTTGTCTCTTTTGTTTTCGAATGTGATGTGCTGCTTATCTGTTATTTGAACAGGGTGTTTTCCCCAACAAAATGTGGAAGCACTACTATTGCCAATTATACCGGTGCTGAAAAGAGACCAATAAATAAACATAGTTAAATATAAAGATTTTATTATAGCTGGGAGCTCTGGCAGTGTTGGAAGAAACTTTCAAGATGTGGAATCACTGGCATAGGTTGCAAAGGGAAGATTGTGCAGACTTTATCTTTGAAATTCTGAAAGAACGGATTAGTCTGTCTTGGAATATCAAACCTGGTTTGTTGTGTCTTGGATTAGCTGACATGTTACGGTCTCTTTTAGCTCTTTTTTATGTGCAGGTCCTAGTTTTGGACTGAAAGATGCTTATATTCCTGTGAAGTTTAGAATTTAAAGCATGTCTTCTTGTCATTATTTTCTCTTTGCTTTTATGGCTCAGTTCTGAATTGTGTTCTGAGATGCCTAATGATTGTCCCACAAGCTGCACAGGGAGGGTTAGTTTTTTTTAATGGAAGTCTAATGCCTGTGCTGGTTTTGTCAAGAGGATACTTTAAGTAAAAGGTATGCATTTCTGGGGGATGCACTGTGAATTGGCTTTTTTTCTTTATAAACGGAATATATTTTTAGTATCTGTCACTGGCCAAAATAAATTCTCAACATAAAACATATCTTTTGATAGATAATATTGTCCTGTTTTATTGAGATGGTGTATTCTTTGGTTTCTTTAAGATTGCAACTCCTGCCAGATACACTGTGACTTTGGGAGGAACATCCATCACCGTTAAATATCTACGTAAGAGTGGCTACATGTCCACACCACCACCAGTAAAGGAATATCTACAAGATAGGATGGAGGAAACAAAGGATAAAATTACAGAGAAGATGGAGGAAACAAAGGATAAAATTACAGAGAAGATGGAGGAAACAAAGGATAAAATTACAGAGAAGATACAAGAAACCAAAGATAAAGTTTCATTTAAAAAAATTAAAGACTAGGAGAGATGCTTAATTTTTGGATACATCAAATTTAGCACTTGAACCCTTTCTGAAGCAGGATATATGAAGTGCACTTCAGAGCTCTTTTTTTTTTTTTTCTTTTTTTTTCCCCCCCCTTGTCTGGAAAGTACAATTCCTTTGTGAATTTAAAAATTTTGTATAATTCACCAAGTTCAAAGTTCTCTGGGGGAGGCTGTGACAAAATTTCAATTTACAGAAGGAAAAGTGAATCTTGGATTAGAAGTTTGTGTGTCCCTTGGTACCAGTGTTAAGTTACTCTTCCCTCTTTCCTATTTTTTTCCTGTTTACTTCCCCCTGCCAAATGAAGATGGTTTCTTCTAAAAGCCACTACTTTATTCCTCTTCCGTTGTAGTGCACAGCTGTTATTCCATTAGATTGAATCTTCCATTAAATGAGAATTAAGATTTCTCTACTGGGAAAGGCAACATATTTTGGTTTAGAGTATGTGGACCCAGGCCTCTTCGATCGTGATCATCTCTCAACTTGGAGACAGACCTTTGTCACTGATACTGCACATAAAGGAATCAATGGAGTAGCTACTCAGTCTGAATGAATTACCATGTCTACACTGACTTCAACTGAGCTGTGGTAGTTTACAGGTTGAGACTATGGATCTCTCTGGGACAGTGTATCTTTTCAGAAATCTCAACTGAAAGCTATAGGAAGATGAGTTAATCAAAGCAGCCATACTATCAAGTATACTTTGTTTCTTAAAGTTGATTTACCGTAGAAGGAAAGTTATTAAATGAAATTAATCAATAATTGTATATTAAAAACCAGGATTTTTTATTATGTTAAAGTTTACAAAACTGTTTTATTTCATTTTCAGAACATAAAAAATTCTGAGAGAGAAGTTTACTTTGGAAATTGGTATATGAAGGGGCTTTTAAAGTGCAAAGTTAGAGTTAAACCCAAAAGTTCCTATTCAGGAGTCCCTCAGACTTCAGTAGAACAATTTAACTCAAGTAAGCATAATTTCTGAGACAGTGATCAGTCTACAAAACTTTTTTTCCCCTAGATTTTCTTAGGTCAAGCAAATATGTATTCATAGCTGAAGGTGAAATGCTGTCTCAGATGCCATAAAGGACTCAAGTTGAAACTGTTCTATTTGACTGGGCAGGCAGACTTCTCTCATGGTTTTATTCAAACATAGGCCAAATGAAAGTGTGTTTTTTCCGTATTTCTGTTACAGATCTCAGTAGCAACTCTCTGCATGTATATCTTGTTTTACAAAGGTGGTTTTTGCATTGGGATATGGGGAAGCAACAGAGTTGAACCCTGAGCATTGTAATTGACTAGAGTAAAAGAATATAGCTGATACTTTATCAGCTCTGCACCACTCATGTTTTTCGTCAAGTCACGGGAGGCCTCTCCATGTTTAAGTGAGATGAACTTCATTAACTTAATTGTGCAGGATTGATCGCATACTTCTCTGCCTCTGTCCACATGACAAATAGTAACTGCAGTGTAACGCCTACCTCACAGGGATGTTGTGAGGAATAATCGTTGTATATTTGGTGCCCAGAAGATGTAAAGTGCCATGTTTCTGGTAAATATTATTAAAAAATAATTCTGTGACTTCCTATGCTGCTGAAATGAGCACTACTGTAGGACTGGAGTTAATAGATGTTTAAAGAAAAGTACACTAAAACAGAAATACTGTCCCCATGCATGCATTTTTCTGATGTTGCCATTTGTTCTGGATTGGCATTTGTTCTGGTTTTCCATTTTTGCGGGTGGTGTTGCCCATGTCCTGCAGTACCCTGCAAAGCCCAGCAATCTGCCCCAGTAATACTGTATGGCCGTCCTCTCAGTCTGGGGCTGGATATGAAAACCCCTTGGTGCAGCTCACAGAATCCATCTCATGGCAGGAGTTGCAGAGGGGCATCTTGGGGTCCTCAGATGGGTCTCTAGCCCCCAGGCGTGTTAGAACTTGTTCATTGCACAGACACACTCTTTTGTTACCCCATCCTCTTGCCCGTCCCCATGTCCAGCTGGCCTGTGACCACTCCAGCACTTAAATGATCCATCACTACCAGTGCTAAGTACAGAATATCTCCTCTGTGCTGTAGACTGTGCTATATGACTGTTTCTGCATCTGCAGGAACAGCTCATAGTGACTATTGCCAAGTGCCTCATCTGTGTGCTGTTTGGTCAATTTTGCAGCATGAATAACCTCCAGGAACTTGTGGGACAGCCACATCCTCCCCTCAGTATGCCAATTAACAAAGCACAGACTTATGTAGATCAATCTACACAAACCAGGAGGGAAAATCTTCAAGACTTTGAAAATCTGACCTGGAGAGCTTTTGTGACAGTTAGTCAAATGCTTGGTTGTACTGGTGCCATTGTCTCAAGTTGACCTCATCTGGAATCAGTGCATTGCCTCGTTAGTGAAGAGACTAGCTGGGGAGTTCCTGGGCCATCCAGGGAATGAATTATGGTAGTCCACTGGGTGCCCAGCATGTACTCAGCTGCACTGCAGTTTTAACTATAGGATAAAGTTGACTTTCATCCTTGTGTAACTTAATTTCCATAGCTCTTGCCACAATACTAGGGTGCAGTTCTCATTATTGATGGATCCCTGTGGCTGGAAGACAGCATCCACCCCCCCTTTGGAGAGCAGTGCTCCCAGACTGCTCACAGGGTGGGCATTTGCATCAAGCAGGGGCTGCCTGAAGACAACACAGGGTCTCATCTTACTGGTGTCCAAGCCAGACCAGTTGTCACACTCCCATGTGGCAGCAGTGTCCTTCAAGGTGGAGCAACATCAGTGGGTGCCTTTGGCAGCACAGAGGGAACAGAAGAGCAGGTGTTATGGCTTGGGAAAGCAAGCAGTTGGCTGCAGCACTCAGAGCTTGCATTGAGACAGCCAACAAGTGACCTGAGCAAGGGAGTGCCCAGCAGAGTTCGCTGAGCTCCCTCCAGCAGAGTGCCAAAAGTCCTTGGTGAGGTGAAAAGCCCAGGCAGAAGCTCAGGAGCACCTTCCATTGCTTGTAGGACCATCCAGTCAGTGCCAGCAGAGTCTGCTGCCTTCCCCTGGCAGCTCAGCATCCTCATGGGAAAAGGCTGTCCCTTTGCCTGTCCTTTTAGGCCCTTTAGGTGGAGTAGGTCTCTCCACCTCTTTGCAAAACCTTCAGAAATCTGGTGACACCAGGACTAAGGCACCTGCCACCACACAGGCAGCAGAGAAATTGCTGCTTTGGTGACTTACCCCACTTCTGCCTGCTCCCTGCCTCACACTTAACACCACTGCAGAGCATCACATTGTCGACCTCTGGTATAGGTACATACCTGAAGGCACCGAATGCCTCCCAGAGCAGAAGCTGGAAGCAAAGTTATAGCCTGCACAGAAGCTGAAGCAGTGCCTAAGCAGGACCTGGAGCCAAAGTTACAACCTGAGATGGGGCTAGAGCCAGAGTCGCATCCCGGCATGGAGCCAGAGTCACATCCCGGGATGGAGCCAGAGCCATAGTAGCAGCTTGAAAAGGAGCCAGAGCAGTAGTGGTTGAAGATGGGGCTAATGATGTGATTTGTGTAAGGGCCCAAGCCAAGTGACCCACTCAGGCAGGAGTTCAAGCCAAAGTCATCTCCCAAGGTGATGCCAGAGCTGAAGTAGCAGCCTGAGCAAGAAATAGAGGCAGAGTCTGGCTGGAGCCAAATTAAGAGCTTGAGGTGGGGCTGGAGGCAAAATAATGCCCACATGAGGACTGGAGCCAAAGATACGTCCCGATCGGGGCAGGAGCCAAAGTTTAAGCCCAAGCACTGTTCAGAGACAAAGTCACAGCTGAAGAAGGGCCTGGAGCTGAAGTCATGACCTAAATAGGATTGGGAGCCGCAGTAGCCTCCTGAGCAGGAACCAAAGCTGAAGTCGTGATCCAGCATTGAGCCAGAGCCAAAGTCATGGCCTGATATTGGACAGGAGCTGAAGATGAGGCCCAAATGCAGCCACCACCAAGCTCATGGTTCAAGTTGGGGCTGGAGCAGAAGTCACAGCCCAAATGTGGAATAGGGCTGAAATTACCGCTTGAGAACCATCCAGAGCCAAAGTCATGGCCTAATAAAGAGCCAAAGCTGAAGTTGTGACCCAAGATGGAGCCTGAGCCAAAGGTGCATCCCAAACAGAGGCTACTGCTGAAATCACTGCCCAAGAATCAACCAGAGCCAAAGCTGCAGCCTTGTATCAGCCAAGAACTGAAGCTGCAAGTCTGAAGTAGTGCTGGAGCAGAAGTCATGGACTGAGCAAGGACAAGAGCCAAAGTTACCACCCAGTATCGGACCAGAGACAAAGGTGTGGACAGAGATGTGTCCAGAGCTGCAAAAGCCTCCCAGGGTGGGCCAGAGCCAAAGTTGTGCTCTGATTTCAGGCCGCCTGAGCAGTAGCCACCTGAGCATGGACCAGAGCTCAATTTGGGTTGGAGGCAAGTAACAGCTCAAGCTTGGGCTGTGGCCCAAGGTGGGGCTAGCACCTAATTCATGGTCTGATATTGGGCGAGAGCTGAAATTGCAAATTGACATGGTGGTGGAAGCCAAAGTTTACAGGACAACCACGGGATCAAGCCCAGCCAGCATGGGTTCATGAAAGGAAGGTCATGCTTGACCAACCTGATCTCCTTCTATGACCAGGTGACCTGCCTAGTGGATGAGGGAAAGGCTGTGGATGTCGTCTACTTGGACTTCAGGAAGGCTTTCAACACTATGTCCCACAGCATTCTAGAAAAGTTAGT